TGAAAACAGAGCCTAAATGGGATTTATATGAGGTTTATGCCTCATGTGCACAGAAATAAATTTCACCATAATTTGAGGAATATAAACATTTCTAGTGATAACCACAGACACAGACTTCAGGATCTCTGGAGCTATGGAAGTGTCTTAAGTAATTTAGAGGAAGATTAAAATAATAACACATCTCAATATCCCTTTTGGGGGGGCTGGAGGGTGAGGGGGAGAGAAGTCTTCCTAAACATCCTTGCTCAGCTCTGCCTAGCTCTCTAGAAGAGATTCCTGCTGACTAGTGTGAGAGCTTTCCTTGAGCCACGATGCCAGAACGGGTCCACCCTACACCTTCCCTGGAGTCATTTCCCATGCAGTGATGACATCTCGCTGCTGGACATGAACGTTTGGTATGTCAGTAACATGCATACTTGGCTGGCGAAAAGCTGTGGCCTAAATAAAATGCTTTTAGACCCGAGAACCATGGTCCAATCTCTGGCCAAGGCTTTAATGAGGAAGATCAGGTTTGGCAATTCTTCACAGCCCTGTAAGAGACCTTTTCTGAGCACCCAACAGAGTCTGACCTTTTAATTAGAGCAGTCACCCGCCACATACTTCTCCATTGTTCTTGAGTTCCCTGACTTTACTTATTCAGCCTCAAAAATTTCTCTTGGCTTCCATCATCACGACTCCCTAATCTACTAAACACCAAACACTTTTGTTTTTACTTCTGAAGCACTTCACAAAAAAATGCTTTTGCCAGAAATCACAGCTCCATCCCAAACATATGCATTTCTTTCCAATTGTTTCTCTTTCATCCATTCTTACATCACAATTTTTCTTCTTTCCTTTTTTTTTCTAAATCTAATCACATTCAGTTGATGTCATAAATTTATCAGCCATACTGCTTTTACAGGTTACGAGAATAGACTAAAAAAAATATTCAAGAGCATACAGGAATTACAGACTGTAAAGAAATCGGAAATTCAGAAAGAAAAAAACCCTAACGATAGTGTTAATTTTCAGACATGTTCTTTTAGAATTAGTATATATTATATATGTATATTAGTATATATCTATTAGTATATAGTATATTAGTATATATAGAGAGAAGGAAATTTAAACTAAGTAAAAAGCCTTTTCACTAATCAGCTCCTCCCAACCTTTATGCAACAGGTTTAGGAAGCAGGCTGCTCTTTAAGGGCAGAAAACTACTTTTCCCTCCCCTGCCTGACTCAGTACAAAGAGAGGCAAGAAATCTCAAACTGATCAGGTCACACTCAAAGGACTACTTTCTCCCCAATGGATCAGCCATCACATTTTAACACATAACAAGGAAAAAGAGATTTGATTTCCAGGAACAGGGTAAGCTGCAACATGAGCATGTGCTCCTAGATCAGCGGGTCTGAGAATCAGAAGATGTTTTCTTGTTTCTATCTTGTTGACTGCTTGCCAGCAAGGTTGTCCAAGAAACATCAGAGAAAACAAATATTCTCATTGTCCCCCCAATCTACTGTGGACTGCACTGAGCTTCCCACAGCTTAGGCATCAAGTCAAGCCCACAAGAAACGAAACTGGCCTCTAAATAGGTGAAATCCAGTTCAGCATCTCCTTCCATACGCATGTGGTTTGACTCCAGTATAACTAGAAGTTGGTTAGCACTCTGTGCAAGACCAAGTTTTAAAAATACGTCCATTATTATCAGACTGTAATTAGAAAAATCCAAGTGCTTATAACAGGCAGCTCCAGCAACTGCCACACATCCCAAACAAAATGTATTCACAGTATTATGTGGATCAGAATTTGCCTTTCCTGGGCTTTTATTACTGTTCTAGGAGGGTTAACTCTCACTCAAACTTATGGGTGAGAGTTGGCTGGCTGGGAAATGCCATAAAGTCATGTTATCTTTTGAAGAATAGTGGGTTTCTGGCAGTTATATGTGTTTTCTTCTGTTATAATATAAAACTATTCTCAGAAGCTTAATGAATGGCTCTGTCATTACAGCTCAAGAGGCCCAGACAGAAAGAGACCGTAGACTCCAATTTCTCTGTGCTGTAATTATGTTTTCCACTGACAAAACTGCCATGAGAACAAACATTGCTGCTGCGGTTCCAGCTTCAGACCGGATTGATCCGAGGCACGGGGCTGGGCAAGGGGCAGTGCCCAGCTCCCACTTAATCAAGTCAGATTATATATTATTTATGTATATACATATATGTGTGTGTACACATTTAGATTTAGATGTAATAAAGATGGATTAAACAATTCATTCCCTGCTCCTTAAGTTTAATTAGAAGGTTTCTGCTGAACTTGGTGAGCTTTAAACTGTGTGCTATGATCTTCGTGAACGATACAGAAACACTTGCGCTGCCTTCACTATATTCCCCAAGTCATTCCCAGCCAAGGATTACCCACATGTAACACCTTGGACAGAGAATCCGACCAGATCTTCTCAGAGCAGAGGGATAGCACAGCCACGCTGGCTCACCCAGGGAACAGAAGAGCACAGTAATCAGCTGGTGCTAATTGGAAAACTCCCAAACATTGAACACACGGGAGGAGGAGACTGAGCATGGGAGAAGAACAGAGAAAGAAAGTAGAGATGTGGCAATGGAGCTTCATCTAACAAAACAATCTTCTCATACCTCAGAGTTTATCTTACAAACTTTAATCATATATTGTCACTACCACTAGGACAATTTGCTTTACCGTAAAATCGTTTGAGAATCCCACAATGGGAAGAGAACCAAGCACTCTTGCCTCCTAAACACTTCTAACTACAAAGTAATTTTTTAATAACTTACTACCCTCAATAAGGCATGCAATTTTTCCATTTTTTGATAGCGCACTGCCAGTCCGAAATGGAATTAGCAAACAATACACACAATGAAAGATTATGAATTAATATTAATTAATTTGGTACTTTAAAAGCCATTAGCTCTAATTTCTTAGTTTGACATAAGAAACAGAAATTATTCCTTTCCAGGGGATGTCTGTTTTCAGTATAATTCATCCAGATGTTAAAACATAATTGTGCCTGCCTTTGTGCTGAGGGAGACAGTAATGTAATATCCAGTTACTACAGAACATTCCACTGGAATAAGAGAAAAACACCAAATACACACAAGACAATATATTAGACTGGCCCATTCCTTTGGCAAGTATTGCATTTGAGTATTTTCCCATATCTTTCATTTGGGCAGAATTCATAAGCATTTATTCTTAATTTCATTAAACATTATCACTGGTTTCCATAACAATGAGAAACTGTATCAGTACTTAAAAATAATCTGGAAATATCCATTACTTACACTCATAGAGGTTTAATGGTGGGGTGCATGTTGCTCAGAATCACGGGCAGAAATTAAACACCTGGACTGCAAACAGTATTTAGACATGCTGCAAAACTGACAGATGTCAGGGGAAAAAGACTGGGGAAAGCACAAATTTATTTCATTCTGGGAAGAGGCAGTGCCTAGAGCAATAATGAGAGAGACTTGAACAAAGCAGCTGACACCAGGGCAGTTATTCCGCTTCTGACGACAGGCAAGCAGTTCAGAGAGAGAAGTGGAAGTTTCATTTGGAGGATCGCCTGGTTAGCGTATAAGCCAGAGACTGAGTGATGCCCTGTCTGTAACGCTCCACCCCAATTAGGCCCTAACCAAAAAGAAAGGTGTGAGTTTTTTCAGATATGGCTTTCTACATTTAATCTGTTCTACAGAAACTTCCCCTTCAAGTTCCCGAATCGGTCATCCATAACCTGCATTTCATCATCAGCCTCACCACTTAAACACTGCCTACGGTGCATTTGTACCAAGGTAATTATTTTCCGTGTAAAAACATCTAACTGCCAGACCTCTTGCCTCCTCCATTTAACATGGACCTCCATTTTCTTCATTCTGCAAACAAATGCATAATCTGCACCCTCAAGGATAGAGCAGAGCTCCTGTGTTTGTGTTCAGCTGACAGTCACGCCGGAGGTGACACACCAGACTGTCCACGTCCACCACAGGTGTGCAACTGGTCTCTTACAAACTAATAATTTTAGCATTTTAAATATAAATTTTTTGGTATGAATTCAGTTCTGCCTTTGTTCAATTATTTGGTTACATTCATGCATTTCCCTACAAAAAAAACGTCATCTTTCACACGCAGAGACACAGAAGGTAAGCCCTGAAGTTCAGGCAGCCTTGTGTAATGACATGCGCCTAAGGCTGCCTGGTTAAACATTTCAAAATGTGGTTTTAATATTTTGCAAGATATATCCTGCTCCTTCATCTGTTTTCCTGCTGACTGTTACAGAAGGGTGCGTCTGGATGGGAGCAGACAGACTTTGGCAACAGATGCTCTGGAAGAAACCTGAGAGCCGAGTTAGTCCTTGGTGGGGAGAAAGGATCAATAGAAAACACAACACACCGACACTTCGTTTTCCAACGTTACACTTCTCCTGCCACCTCCACTAGCTCACGCCTGTGTCCGGGTGTGCACTTGCAAGACATCTCTAATCATCCTCCCCTTGTGTGACCAGCGGCTCTGCAGAGCTGGGGGATGAGCACACAACTCTGCGCCTCCAGTTTTGCAGAGACCTTGCAAAGTGCCCGTAAAGTGCTGCCCACAGCACCCCCGGGCATGGCTGGGTGGCTCTGGAAGCACTCGAGCCATGTAACATCGTACAAACTCGGCATTAAACCATGCGTGGTCCGAGGACCCTCACAGGTCTGCACTCAGGACTTCACTGAGCCTCCCCCCCTCCCCAAGCACACGCCTTTATCCAGAAATTAAGGAGCAGTTACTTAGACCGTGGATGAGCACAGAATCACTGTTCCTGCCAGATCAACATCAAACAAAACACAAGCAACACCAAGTAACCAAAATGTTACTTTCATTCTTCACTTGCATAAAGCAAATATACAGATAGGCATCACAGCAACTGTTGAATTACAGCGAGATAATATATACCAGATACAGCCACCTAAAACATATATACACAGACAAATTATGTTTAGGTTCGTTACCTCTAAGATCTGAATACGCATTCACAGTAAGTACAGCTGCCTCCGATTTCCTACCTCCAATTTTCTCTTTAGAAAACAAAATCTAATGCTTTAGATCCACATTCCAGCTCTGTCTGCAAAGGATCTGAAAGACAGTGGAAAAGAAATCGTGAACATCAGAATCTGAAGTGTTTTCAATGGAACTCGTACGACACCAGAGGCAATTTCCCCGGCTCTCACCCGGCCCGCCCCGTGACCGGGATGTCGGAGGCAGCGGGTGGCTCCACGCGCAGCACGGGCATTAAAGATGCACAAGTGACTTTCATATACAACCCCTCTGCCTCACCAGTGGAAACTGCCCTTTGGTTTATTACATTCTGTCGTGCACAGCATTACAGTGGCAGTGGAAAAGGAAGGAAAGCAAACAGCGGGCTCGGCTAGTTCATTATCTCACCAGTCAATTATTAACGATGGTGCTTTTTCTGCCCGAGCTGTTGGGCAGCGGCCGCGAATCCTGTGTGGGCACAACTAAAAATTCCATGAAGATGCTGCCGAGGCCACAGTGGAGAGAGCAGGCGAGGCCCTTGCCCCCCAGGCCCCAACAAATTCCCCTCCCGTGCGTCCCGCCAGGACGGCCTCCGCCGAAGAGCATCCTTCACCCCGCCGCACCTCGTCCTTTGCTGTCCCCAGCCCGGGGCCGCAGCGCACCGGACAAGAGCCCTTGCTCTGGGGCAGCTGAGCAGCACTACTACACAAAAGCTAATTAAATCCAACTGAAAGTAGTTCAATTTAATCCAACAAAGTACTTGGATTTTATTTTCTTAAAAATTCATTTACTACTTTCAGACGGGAAGGGAAAAAGGGTTGTACAAAGTTAATACAGTTCAAGCAAACACTGAAGCTATGTTTTATATGCTGAAGGTTTTCTAATCTTTTTTTGGTTGGGGGTTTGTTTTTTTTGTTTTTTGTTTTTTTTTTTTTTAATTGTTTTGTTCATAAAACAGCACAGAAGACACACAGATTGAGGCTTTCATCTATTTTGTGCGACTCTGAATCAACTCAAGCCTCTGCAATAAATTCCTTCCTGTCTCCAAATAAATGTGATGGAGTCTGATACTAGCATTTTATAACATCCTTATCTGGTGAGGTGAATTCCCACTAGTTTCTAGCTGGGCTTAAAAAATAAGCCGATTTTATGTCACTATTTTTTTTTTTTCCCCTTCAAACTAAGCTGCCAACTGGATAAAGCCATGCAGGCAACAGCTCTCCGATTTGTTCTTATTTATCAGCTCTCAAGAGAAAACTGAGGATTCCTTCCACATTTCCCACAAAAATAATCTGCTTGCTTGTGGCTATGTTCAGTTTTCACTAGGTGACAAGGAGCAGACTACTCCCCAGTGGGACGCAGATTCAGCCTTTGTTTTTTCCCTGGCTTCCCCATGCTGTCCAGCCGAAGCCACCGCCAAGAATTCAGAATCCAGCCCTGGATTTACTGAGCAGCAGAGGCAGGAGGGGACGGGGATCATTCTGTTGGGAAAATCTCAACTCCCCATCTCCTGTGCACAAGGAGAACACAGAAGCCCCATGCTGGAGGTTTTTCTGTGAGCAACCATCCAGGCTCCTCTTCAAAATCCTGTACACAAATAGGCCACCCCTAAACCTAATTTTTTTCTCACCAGCGCATGATGTGATCAGTAACTCCCAGAGTATGGAGAAGGGCTCCCGGGAAGTTACTCAGTAACTAACTCAGTGTTTAGTCATTGCATTAAATACTGTTTTCACAAAGCAGTGCTTTGGTATCTGATGGAGTCAAGTGTTCTGCAACAGGAGGCGAGGGGACCATTTCCAATGGTCTGAGGAATGAGGGGAAAAAAAAATAAAAAATAAAAAATCTTGCACTGCATGATGCCAGCTTGGAGGAAGAAGGACAAACCTGAGCAGCTCCTCCTGCCAGGTCACAAGCAAAGCTCTTGTCTGGGGACAGAGCTGGCAACACTGGTGTCTTCTCTGCGCGGGAGGTTTTGTGCATTTCTTTTGTAACAGAAAGTTTTGCGCAGATATGTCAGAGATGACCGATTTGTTAAAGCGCTGCAGCCAAATCTGACCTTAGTCCTACAGGAATCATAGCGGTGCAAACATACCACATGAGAAAATACGGAAAGCCAGAATCATTATTCTTGCACCCTACAGCTCCGAGGGTGAATGCACCAACTCCTGCCTCTCCCGGGCACAGTGCGGATAGCTGAATTCAGCAGCGAGGCTATTAACTTGGGAGAGTTTGATTTAGCTCTGGGATTTGCCACAGATCTTTGTAAATTTGGCCCTTATATTACGCTGAGATTATTTTAAAACATTTGAACACATCAAAACTGAGATTGTGTCCAGGCTTTTCCAGACATGGCACAGCACTCGACTTCTGTCTCCTGACCTCTCTGGACAAGAATTGTACAGACATAGAAGTTCAAGGGCCCTTAAATGAAGTGTCTCATATATATAAACTGGGGGTAAACAACACTTTTGGCCACATTGTTGTCAGGATAAATCCCTTAAAAACTGTGCAAGTCTCAGAAACAAATGCAACTTCCCTCCTAACCTGAGAGTGCTGAAAGCTTCTGCAGGGTGGAGAGTGTCAGCAAAGCTCGGAGCAAATCACTTGAAACTTTGCAAAAGAGTGCAAAGCCTCAGGAAAACAGCCCCGTCAGCACAGTATCATGTAACCTGGAGCTCTAAACCAGCAGATGTTTTCCTAGTAACTTGCAATAATACACAGTACTATGCATACAATAATAGCATACACCGATTATAAAATTATTTCAAAATATAAATCGCATTCCTCCAAGTGCTCCTCCTAAATCATAAAGCAGTTGTCTTGTAAAGTCATTACATGGTATATATGGTTCGCAGCTCTGCTGATTTGTATCTCACAATGGCAACTTGTTCTGAGGCTGGATTCTGCCGCGTTACGGCCAGGGAGGACGATGCCGCCACGCTCGCCTGCTGAAACCGCTGGCACACTGAATTCCGGGCAGCGCTACCAGGGAGCGCGCCTTTAGGGCCCCAACTGCCACAGTAAATCCATGTTTTACAAGTATTAACAATTAAACCTCCCCACCGCCTCTGCATGAAGTGCTGTAGATTTGGGTTGAATGATTGCCCTTCGCTCCCCCCTCAGATTCAATCACAGAACAGCACAGCAAGGAGGACATGCTCCGGAGGGGTGGGGGTTACCCACAGCCCTGCCCCGACTTAAATGCGATAATATGTTTAATGACTAATAACAATTAAATGAGATGCGATGGAGAAACCCCAAAAGAGAATTTACCGCTGCTCTTGGCAATTTAAAATGCTACAAGACATTAGAATCAGAGAGTATGATATGAACAAGGCAGAACCCTCACTCACACAAGCACACCAGTCATTCATTCATCACCACTAGGAAGTAACCAAGATATTCTCGGGACGTCTATGAGTCATGAAAAAGCACGCTTAGGTTTGTTATCTATAAACTTCCATGGTTACAATAATAATCAGGGCCAAGAGTAAAAACAAACAAAGGAATTTGTAAAAACAACGGAGCCGAGGTTCATTTTATCTGCCCCTGGGTTCCTAGATGTTTAGAGTGCGTTTACATTATGTTTTCAAACTCTGCTTCACAACCAGAAATATTGATATTCATGGTTGATTTCTTAATTGAGAGCTAAGATTTTCAGGGGATCCTTGAATTTTTACAGCTCATGTTTTCAGAGATGCATAAAATCTCATAATACTCATGATAAAGATGTCAGTAGTTGCCATCAGTATGCCTTTTATTTCTGAACACTGCCCCAGTCACTGCCCAAAATTCACTGAAAGTAGAAAAGCAGTAATTAGGACTATGGGCCAAAACTTGCCTCTTGATGCTACTTTACAGATCTTCTGCTTTATCTACACATTGCTAGGATGTGTTCTGCACTCGAGCACAGCTCCTGAAGGCAAGGACCTATAGCTCGAGATAAAATGCAGAATTCAGCGATCAACAACAACCAAGGGAGATGTCTGCTCACCGTTCACCGGCACCTTCCATTCTGCCACTGCTCTCCTTGTACTAGCTGCACAGCACCAACAGCACAAGGACATTTACAGACTGTGGGGATATCAGACAAACATACCATTAGAATAATTTCTCGTGGCTGTGACAGCCCCAAATACACCACATTGGCCAGGGGTTGCCAAGGTGAGCCCCTTAAGGCAGCAGGATGAAGTAAAGCCCACGGCTGCTGGCTGCTACGCCAGCCATCTCACGCAGGTAAAGAGCCGTGGGCTGGGCTGACGGGAGCCCCCCTCGCCCCCAGGGCTGCTCCCTGCGCATCTGCCTTCCCAGCCTTTTTTATTAGGTGTTGGAAAGTGAAATCCGAAGGGGGAAGCAACACAAACAGCAAATGCTACCCATAAAAACCTCCAATTGCCCACTGGGCTATTACCTTCAATGGTATTTTCATTACTTGGCATCAGCTGGGATACAGATGGCTGCCTAGAGTTACTGGCTTCAAAAACGAGGTCAACAGTGGCACAGATATAAAATAAAAATAAAAATCCTGGGCTTTACTCACCAAAGCCATCCAAGTAACAGCAGCCTAATAGACAAAATAATATCCCTGAGAGATCTCATCAATCCCAGATTTCACAGATGTGGCTGCCCTACCTCATAACCAAACTAGCTAGCAGGGCAGACGACCGAGACAGTGTTATTATAGGCACATATTCATTATTTTTTCACTAGAATCCATTAATTCCTACATGAGTTATTCCTTCTGCATGACATTACAGCAAACACAATCAACATTTTTTTTTAGCGTTTTTAATTATTTAGTTAATCATTTGGTAATAGTTTATGGAAGAAAGGTAACACAAAGTCACTACTATTGTTCCAGTCATACCGATGTTCCATGGATCAGACAGGTCCCCTTGTTCCTTCTGTCCCTGATTTGATACAAAATGTTCCACAGCCAAAGCAACCTACAAAAGTTTCCTTTGCTCATGCTCCTTTTAAGGCTGCTTTCCCAATTCACAGCAATATCAGCAGTTGCAGGGAGGAGGGTTTTCTGCTGCAGTGTGGAGCTGAGGCGAGCAGCTGCGTGCTGGGGAAAGCACAGCTGCCAAGAATTA